GCTGAAAAGTTTTTGGCCTTATTTCTTCACATATGATGACTTGCCATTTGAGACTCAGAGTATGACAACAGGAAATGTTGTTGTCTTTAAATTATCCATTGAAATGCATGTTTATAGCATCATTATTCATAACAGTGAAAATGTAGAAACAAACCAAGTGTTCATCAAGGATGAATGAACAATGAAAATATATTATATACTTAAAAATAAATGTTATTTCAGTTCTACAAAATAGGGCTTTCTGACACATGCAAAGGCATGGATGATTCCTGGAAATATTAGACTTATTGACAGGAGCCTGAGACAACTGGCTACATATTTCATACTTCTGTTTATATGTACTCTCCTGATTAGGGAAGCACGCAGCCTCAGAATAGGTTAATGATTGCCAAGTCTAACAGAAAAGGGAGAACAATGGTGCCTGCCATGAGATGTGTTTCTTACTAAGATGATGAAAATTGTTCAGTGATTGAATAGTGGGGGTGGCTGCACAGCCTTATGAATATACAAGTGATACGTTTATTTTAAAAGAAGACTCGAATTACTAAAATTAGGTGGAGGGGAGTGGAGGGAGGGGAAGGCTTATGGGGTAGGAACATTAGTAGAATGAATCAGAAATTATTACCCTCTGTACATATATGACTACGTGACTAGTGGGATTCTACATTATGAACAGCCAAGCTATGGAAGGGACCTGGAAGTGGAGTCTGTATTTCATCATATTAAGCAGACTGTGCATTTCAGTTTCTTAGATGTATGATTTCACTGGAAGAAGGTGACATATGTTTGTTGTGAAGCATGCTGTTTGCTAAATTCATTGCAGTATTCTCATAGGAAAATACTGAGCCAGGAAACTAATTAATCATGTTTAAATTACACAAAAGCCTGAAGGCAGAGGTCTAGAAGATTTAAGTCCCAACAGACATTGGGAAGAAATAAATATAATCCTCATATTGTTCACACACCAGAGATAAGGACAGGAAGACATGCTTATCTCAGGTAGGTTTCTAAATGGCTATGTTTGAAGGATAGAAGAAAAATAAATCCTGGCCTTCTTTGGAAAAAAAAATAAGAGATCAAGTATTATGAAATGGATAGATGAATGATTTTATACCTGCTTGCTAATTGAATCATGCTCCACAGTCTCATGGTCAGTGATATTTTCTTGGTGATCTGAGTGAATTGGATTCACTCTACTTCTCATTTGTAGAATAATAGTAAAGGAATTCTTTATTTATATTTTAATCAAGATTCATAAAGAAAACATCCTATTTTTAAAATCCCTCTTCAAGTGATGTCATACATATAAAGATTTGTTTTCATTGTATCCAAATAATAATAGAAGTGACCTATTAGAAAAAAAAAAATCTGTGTCAATTTAAGTCCATGTGGATCACATGCTCTAACATTTAAAGAAATGCAGATGACCAGTCACATTCCAGTTTTTATACATCAACAGGTAAGTACACATAGACACACCATCATGTAACATGCCATAATGCACGTAAACACATAGATGACCAAAAGAAACAGAAGCTTATATAACTGCAAAACTTTGTCTATCATCACACTTTCGTTCTAATGAAAACATCAATGTAAAACCCATGAATGAGCAAATGGTTGGTGGTATTCCTCCCTACCAGTTCATTTTATGACTTTTCCTTGGCTTTTCAAGGACTATTTCCTTTGGAACCATGAAAAAGCATTCACAGAAGATATAAAAGCACGGTATACCAATGATGAAGAATGAGAGAACTTGGCTATTGGTTAAGGATAGGAGATGTTCACTTTTCCAGCATCTGGCTTGAGGCTTCTACTGAGAATGGGTAATAGTTAAGACAAGTTGCACATCTGGGATATATAAAAAGTTAGAGTCAAAGATCACAAACTTCCCGCACTACATTTTTTATATTATAATGTCTTTTTGAAATTGACATATGTTTGGGATATATTCCGAATAAACACAAAACAATTTACAGAATGAAATTATGTTTTGCTTTACAGATAAGTTTTTATCTTTACTGTTCAGAAAAAAATCAAAGCCTAACCTGCGATAACTTTGATGATATTCTTAACTATTTACTAAGAAAAATGGACAAGGGAAACTGCTCCTCATTAACTGAATTCCTTCTCTTGGGAATCACTGATAACCCTGAAATGAAAGTGTTTCTATTCTTTATATTTATGGTTCTTTACCTCATTAACCTCCTCACAAATCTTGGAATGATCATTTTAATCAGAACAGACTCCCAGCTTCACACTCCAATGTACTTCTTCCTGAGCCACCTTTCATTCTCTGACCTCTGCTATTCTACAGCAGTTGGACCCAAGATGCTGGTGGACATATTTGCCAACAACAAATCAATTCCCTTCCTTGGTTGTGCTCTGCAATTCCTCGTTGTCTGTATCTTCATAGATACTGAATGCATGCTGCTGGCAGTGATGGCCTTTGATAGGTACAAGGCCATCAGCGACCCCTTGCGCTATGCAGTGGACATGTCCAGCAGGGTGTGCTCCCAAGTGCTGGTTGGGGTTTACCTGGTGGGAACAGCAGATGGTTTGATACATACGATATTGGCATTCCACTTATGTTTCTGTGGATCTAACAAGATAAATCATTTCTTCTGTGATTTACCTCCACTCTTACTCCTTTCTTGTTCTGACATACAAGTCAATGAGTTGGTATTATTTGCCCTTTTTGGATTCATTGAACTGAGTACCATTTGTGGAGTCCTGGTCTCTTATGGCTACATCATCTCATCAGTCTTAAAGATCCGCTCTGCTGAGGGGAGGCTCAAAGCTTTCTCCACCTGTGCCTCCCACTTAACTGCAGTAGCAATTTTCCAGGGCACTATGCTCTTCATGTATTTCCGGCCGAGTTCTGCCTACTACCTAGATCAAAATAAAATGAGCTCACTGTTTTACATCCTTGTGATTCCCATGCTGAACCCTCTGATTTATAGCCTACGCAACAAAGATGTGAAAGGAGCCCTAGAGAAACTGAAAAACAGAAGGTGGTTTTAAATAATTTCCTTTTGTGTACATATGCATGCATGTATAGTTGGTATTGTACTTATAAAATTATATTTGTATGACACAAGAAACAAAGATATGTCCCATAGTTTAATTTTCACATATAATAATTTGTATTAGAGTCTAATCATAAGAAAACTGTTGCAGACCTCCAAATGAATCATGCTTCTTTATATTTCTTGAATAAATATATGGTATTCATTTTCTGTGCAAAAATTTCTGCATGCTTTCAATAGCATAAAACTTTTGTTTATATTTTAATTAAAACTTATTATGTTAAGATTTAGTGAGTGTCTACTATTTTTTTTTTTTTATTTTGCAAATTTAAGTGTCAGGCATTCCATCACAAGTCCAGTAGTCCTTGTGGTAAATTTTATATTCTAATGGAAATAGAATAACAAGATTCAATAAGCACTCAAATAATTCATGCTGAAAGTAAAATTGATCTTGAAACAACCAAACTCAAAAAAGGATTGAAATATAATTCAATGTCTAAATTATATGTACAGGACAAAATCTTCCTGGGATGGAGATATCCAGTTAAAATCTAAACACAGGTATGCTTGGGAGAGGTAGGGATTGTATCAGGGCATTTACAATTAGAGAAGTTTAAAGATGAATAGGTTTATTATAGCTGGCAAGTGAAGAAACCTAACCAGATTTGTTTACAGAGAGCCGCTAAAGGGTCCTGGTGAAGGGGCTCTGGGTACTGGAATCATAAACCATCAACTCCTTCCTTCATCACTTCCTCCAGGATGATTCCCCCTGCTCTTTCCCCATTCTCAGCCCTGGCTAAGTGCTCCTCTGAGGTCCACAAATCAACTCTCTAAAGAAATATTTAATGTTTCTTTGATTCTTAAATCAGTTTCTCCAATGTGAAATTACAAAATTTATTTTTCCAAATTGGACTGAGCCTTCCACCTGTTTAATCCAAAACACTTACTTGCATCAAGTCTGAGACATAGAGTGGGAAAGAAACAAATAATAAATAAAGTACTAGATATCATTTTTGATACTTTGTTTATTATTTGTTTGCTTATAAGATGTTGTAAAACAAAATCAACAGAAATATGTGTTTGCCACACACATACATGCACACATATACACATGGTGTTTCTTAAGAAATTACAAAAATAATTTCATATAAATACAATGATTCTACTGACATGAATATTAATTTTCTGAGAAGTGAAAAAATGCACATCTGTGTATTCTCTTAATATTTTCATTTTTAACTTTCTCTGCTCTAATTTTCTGATGTCTCAAGAACTGAATGAGCTTCTTGAGAAAACCTGGGTGTGTCCCTATATGTGAAGGAATGTCTATACACACATGCATGTGCACACACACACACACACACATATATGACATAAGGACACTCTTAGTTATTACTAGTATAGAACTTAGTTATTGGGTATCTTGTATCTTCTCATTTAACTACAACTGCAATCCAAATGACTCTGTTCTTCAATAAATGTGACTTATATCAAATCTCTTTTTCTTTTGAAAAAACGAGTGTCTTGAACCTTCTTCTATCCAATCTTACAATGATGTGAAAGAGGCCCTGAGAAAACTTGAAAAGGGGTTTCATTAGTTAATTATGTGCATAGAGTTTTCTCCCACTCTTACACTTCATTACATGAAAATAAAATCATTTTCACTAATGTGGTATAATATGGTAATTATTTATACATGTTAAAGAAACATCAACATTTATAATTCCTCAAATAGGTCTTGGTTCATTTTATATATACAGTATTCACTATGTGGGCAAATTCAGGATTGCTAATATGTTCAATCTCTTGTTTGCAAAGTTACACTTATGAATTTTATTGTTTTAAGAATTTATAGATTCCCGAATTCCAGTTGCAATCCCAAGTACTTTGTAATTTACTGGTGAATCCTGAAGTGCTTTTTCTAACTCATCTTTTAATCTAATGAAAATAATGAATGTGAACCAAATGCTTATTCAACTTGTTCATAATACCTGCAATTATGTCTAATATAAATCAACTGAACCTTATAAGTCCAAAGCACACTGGACATATATAGTTACCAGAATTTAAAACATGTGTCCTGTGTCCTTGAAATGGCAACATTTAATCCTTAATTAAGGGATAAGTATATTTAAGTGGGAGATTCTATTGGGGGAAAAAAAAAAACTCATTCTGGAGAGATGGTCAGCAGTGTGAGAGGCCATGAGGTGGTCAGGCCAATGTCATAGAGATGTGAAAAAGGCCAGTGCAGCTAAGTTATGGCAAACAAAGAGAACAGACTTGACTAGGCAAGTCCTTGCTACAATTCTCCACTCAGGTCACTTCCTTCTGGGTGCTTTTCTGACCTCCGGCATCTCCTGTCCTTGTTCTCACACTCCAGTGGGCCTCAGATCATGCTGAATCTGTGACTCTGTTTCCCAAGTCATTGCCTCCAATGTGGAGTTATGAGCACTTTGAGAGTAAGGACCGTGCTTTTATCTCTTCGCCCCACTCCAGCCTACCATTTGAGCAAAGGAAGGAAGGAAGGAAAGAAGGAAAAGGAAAGGAGCAAGATATAAAGGAGGGCAGGAGAGACACAAAGAGTTTGGGAGAGAAAAAAATCTGTTATTTTTGTTGGGAGTTTATTACTTATGAGGTTACCAAAAAAGTGACCAAATGTCTAGTATTGTGCTGAATATATTTTGTGTGTCTTATAAGTAAGTATGTGAAGCAGTTGTGCTAAAATTAATGGAACATTAAATAAAGGCAAATAAATAATTTGGAAAATAAAAAAAAGAGACTTCTCTGAGTGTTTCTAAGACATTGAGGAACTTTCAATTGCTGTGCTATAGTTTTTTAATGAGCAAAGCACTGGAAGTGACTTCTTCATATGAACACATATTTGAAAGTCATAAAGAACACTTAAAATTTCAGCTACAACTATATCAGCTAAATGTTCTTAAATATCTAAAGTTATGCAGCTGCCATTGTATTATTCCTTTGAGCAAAATATTTTGGACTTCTTATTAAACCCATGTAGGACAGTTAAATTCCTGTGCTTTCTAGAATGTCATTTTTCAGAGATCCAAAGACATTGTATGTGGAAGTATAGAGGCATAAAAAAAGTAATGAGCAATGATTATCTTAGTCATAATCACTTCTCAGCCTATTTTTTAAAAAATTATCTACAAAGTCCTAACAGCCTCATAGCAGAGGTATGTTTGATCCATGACAAGTTTGGTGTCAGTCACAGATATATGAACATGCAATGCAGCTAGCATATTACTGTTCATTTGACTATTGCAAAATGTTTAAATTTATATCTGATTTACTTATTGCATTTTGTAAACAATAGAAATCTAATGTCTGAATTAAAATGAAAAATGTTGTCTACTAAATTACTTGAAAGTTTAAAAAGTTTTTTTATAAATGGAATAGACTGATTTACACAATTTGTGTTACCCTTTTGCCTAAATAAGTGAAAGTAAAATGCCTATAATAATTTATTGGAAACAATCTTTAGAGAGCTCATTATTCAAATATAGGCTTATGCAGATGACAATCCAAGTTTTTGATATTGACTTTGTGTACAAAATAAGTAAAAGCTATTATGAAACATTTTAATCTAATTTACCCTTCTAATTCAATCCTGTTATCTTTAATTTTTTAATCTCTCTAATACATATTCTTCTCATATTATACCTACCATCTATTGGTTGCAAACATTGTTGTCTAAGTACAATATTAATATCCAATTAGATTAAGTGCCCATATTCAATTAGACAATAATTTCTCTCAATTCCATTATTATAGTATCTGCTATGCCTAAACACCTATATCCCAAATCATAATCATGGCCAGTAATGACAGGTTAGTGTGTACTTATATTATTTATATAATACACACTAACATTATATGTGTTCATACATTGAAAATCAACTTTTTAAAAAAAATATGACTAGCAAAATGTATGGAAATAAGAAAATGGTAGTACTTGCTAAATAGTTTGTTACCTTCTTCAGAGGAAGCCAACTCAACCTACATTTAAATACACTATAGAAACTATAAACTGAACTCTAATTACAGAGACATTGACAATAAATGGAGTCTTTTTTTTTTTTTTTTTTTTTTTTTTTTTTCCTATAAAGTCTTTATTTTTTGCCAGTGGCGGACACTCTACGCTCTAAAAGTGAGATGGTCAGAGTGACACATCCATCTTCATTTGGCCTCATATTTAAGCCAAAAAACCACAAAAGGGATGTTTGGGGGTTTAGCCAATGTAAATAAGCAAGTACAGAAGCTGAGTTGGGCAGTTAATGAGACAATGCAATGGGTTACATTGGTATTTCCCACAGGATTTTCCAGGTTGGCATAGCAGCAAGCAAGCAGACAGGAAGTGGGTCAAAATGACCCTAGTTGAGTACAAGTTAGAGAATGGTTACTAATGTCTAGACAATTAATCTCTCACAAGGTACACTGTCCAAGAAATATGCAAAGCAAAGAGAACAATTGTACATTGTATAAGAACTGCTAGGTAACTATTAATGGGTACAGAGGTGGGGCCTTCCCATAGGAGAAGCATTTCTTACATGATATGGAGTCTCAGGGTAAAATGGAGTCTGTTTGGTCTTTGCCTAGGCTGGCCCATAACACCTCCTACCTCCTTTAGAGCTTTGCTTCAGTGTCATCTTTCCAGTGAGACCATCACAGACCTTCACCCTCTTTCTTTGTCAAAATTCCCTATCCTTTCTTCTGGCTCACTGTTCTCCAAAGGATTTATCACCATCAGTAAAACACCAGATATGTTTTACTTATTTGTTGCCCATCTCTTCCATGAGGGCATGGGGGTTTGCCTGTTTCATTCTGCAGTCTACTGCCAGTACCTAGAGCAGGACTTGGCTTGTGGTGGCTGTACAGTGCCTGTTGTTGAATGAATGCATAATATATAAGCAGATATAAGAACCATAATTAGGAAAGACAGTCAACCAACAGATGGTCTAGTTTTGGGGCCAAAAC